GTCTAACTCACACCCACCCACATCTACTCATGTATTTATCCAACCTATTTTTAAAGCTACACAACGTTCTGGCCTCTATAACGGTACTTGGGAGTTTGTTCCACTCATCCACAACTCTATTACCAAACCAGTACTTTCCTATATCCCTCCTGAATCTGAATTTTTCCAACTTAAAACCATTGCTGCGAGTCCTGTCTAGGCTAGATATTATCAGCACACTATTTACATCCCCTTTATTTATTCCTGTCTTCCACTTATAAACCTCAATCATATCCCCCCTAATTCTACGTCTTTCTAGAGAGTGCAGTTTCAGGGCCCTTAGTCTATCCTCATAGGGAAGGTTTCTGATACATGGGATCATCTTTGTCATCCTCCTTTGTACATTTTCCAGAGAATTTATATCCATTCTGTAATACGGTGACCAAAAACTGTGCAGCATAATCTAAATGAGGCCTAACCAAGGATGTATAGAGTTGAAGAACAACCTGAGGACTCCTATTATTTATGCTTCTTGATATGAAGCCAAGGATTCTATTAGCTTTATTGCGAAAACTTATGCACTGTTGTCTTGGTTTCAGATTACTGCTAACCAGAACTCCTAAATCTTTTTCGCAATCCGTAATATTAAGATCTACATTATTTAGTTTATATGTGGCATGGTTATTGTCCTGTCCAACATTTAGAACTTTGCATTTGTCTATATTAAACTGCATCTGCCACTTCTCCGACCACTGCATCAGTCTATTCAAATCTTCCTGGAGTGCTCGAATGTTCCCGCGTCAGAATGAATTCGACGGCCTATTTTGGTGTCATCGGCAAACTTGCCGATGTCGCTCTTTATGCCCTCATCTATGTCGTTTATGTAGATTGTGAACAGCAGGGGGGCCCAACACTGACCCCTGTGGAACACCGCTCGTGACGCTTCCCCACTCTGATTTCTCCCCATTTATGCAAACTCTCTGCTGCCTATTTGTCAACCATGCCTCTATCCAGGAAAAAATTTCTCCTCCTATTCCATGTGCTTTAATTTTCCTCAATAGTCTCTGATGTGGGACCCTGTCAAAAGCCTTACTGAAGTCCATATACACAATATCATATTCGTTACCATGATCTACCTCCTCAAATACCTTAGTGAAAAAAGTTAATAAATTCGTAAGGCAGGAACGTCCCTTTGTAAAACCATGCTGAGATTCGTTGATTAATTTATGCTTTTCAAGGTGGCTACGAACTGCCTCGGCAATTATTGATTCCATAAATTTTCCCACTATGGAGGTTAGGCTTATTGGTCTATAGTTCGAAGCTAAGGACCTGTCACCTGTTTTGAAAATAGTATCACATTTGCCATTTTCCACTTTTCTGGCACCATGCCAGTTTGTAGTGATATGTTGAAAGATTAGCCAAAGGTGTGCTAAGCTCCTCTTTACATTCCTTTAGAACCCTTGCATACAGTTCATCAGGGCCTGGGGATTTGTTAGGTTTTAATTTATCTATTTGCCTAAGGACCATGTCACTTGTGACCCTAATAGTGCACAGTTTATTATCGTCCTGTTCTACATAATTTATCATTACTGGAATATCACTGTTATCCTCCTGTGTAAAAACTGAGAGGAAGTATGTGTTAAAAATTCTACACATTTCCTTATCACTGTCAGTGAGCTGACCCGAGGAACTTTTGAGTGGGCCTATCTTGTCCCTGATCTTACTTCTGTATACCTGAAAGAATCCTTTTGGGTTAGTCTTCGATTCTCTTGCAACTTTAACCTCATAATCTCTTTTTGCTTTTCTAATTCCCTTTTTTATTTCTCTCTTTAACTGAATATATCGATTTCTTAATTGCCCCTCTCCTCTTTTGATTTGCCTATATATGCCTCTCTTTTGACCAATCAGATATTTTAATCTATTGTTCATCCATTTAGGATCATTTTTGTTTGATCTGATTTCCCTATTTGGAACATAATTTGACTGAGCAGCTAGAACTATGCCCTGGAAAGCATCATATCGGCAACCATCACCACCTACCTGACCCCTAGTCAGGTCATTCCAGTTCAGCCCACCTAAGTAATTTTTCAGTCCTATGAAATCAGCCAAGCGAAAGTCAGGGACGGAGACTTGATTGCCATTATTAGGGGAATTCCATGATATGTTAAAACTGAGTGATTTGTGATCACTCTCCCCAAGCTCATCATTAACCTCAAGATTATTAATTAGTGTTTCCCTACTGGCAAGAACCAAGTCAAGGAGGTTATTTCCCCTAGTTGGCTCTGTCACAAACTGTTTTAAAAAACAATCCTGGATCGTATCAAGAAAGTCACCCGACTCTAAATTTCCTGTCAAATTGCTCCAGTCAATCTGTCTATAGTTGAAATCTCCCATTAGCACTTCCCTTCTTCTTTTAATGCCACTAGGACTAGCTTGAGAGTCACTGGACTTCTGTCGCACAACATATCTGTCCATAGAGGCCTGTACCTCCCATTCCTTTATGACATTCCTAAAGTGTTTCACAACATTGTCAGTGTAATAGTTGCCAGCATGGCTTGCAATAGCTGTGTTAGGGTGATTGTCATCAAAAAAGGTTTGCACTTTAAGCCACATTGCACACATTTCCTTAATCTTTGAAATAGGCAACTTCATCAATTTCTCTATCCCCTCCTCCGAAGCAGTTTCCTCAGGTCTGGCCTTTTGCTGTTGAAGATGATCTAGCAGCTCATCAGTGGTTAGTTCATCATTGTCCTCCTTCACCAACTCTTCCACATCCTCCCCATTAACCTCCAACCCCAAGGACTTCCCCAATGCCACAATGGATTCCTCAACTGGCATAGGCTTCTCAGGGTTAGCCTCAAATTCTTCAAAATCCCTTTTGTCTACACATTCTGGCCAGTTTTTTCCAAGCATAGTTCAAGGTCCTCTTAGTCACTCCCTCCCAAGCCGTACCTATAAGGTTTATACAATTGAGGATATTAAAGTGATCCTTCCAAAACTCTTTTAGAGTCAGTTGAGTTTCTGTGGTCACTACAAAGCACTTTTGAAACATAGCTTTTGTGTACAGTTTCTTGAAGTTGGAAATGACCTGCTGGTCCATGGGCTGCAGGAGAGGAGTAGTATTAGGAGGCAAAAACTTGACCTTAATGAAGCTCATGTCCCCAGAAAGTCGCTCTGCCAAGTCTGTAGGATGACCAGAGGCATTGTCTAATACCATGAGGCACTTAAGGTCTAATTTCTTTTCAATTAGGTAATTTTTCACAGTGGGGGCAAATGCATGGTGTAACCAGTCATAGAGAAAGTCCCTAGTGACCCATGCCTTACTGTTTGCCCTCCACAGCACACACAAATTAGCCTTGAGGACATTGTTTTCTTGAACACTCTGGGAGTTTCACAGTGATACACCAATAAAGGCTTCACTTTGCAGTCACCACTAGCATTGGCACACATCAACAGAGTAAGCCTGTCTTTCATAGGCTTATGTCCTGGGAGTGCCTTTTCCTCCTGAGTAATGTAGGTCCTGCTTGGCATTTTCTTCCAAAACAGGCCTGTTTTGTCCCAATTAAACACTTGTTCAGGTTTAAATTCTTCACTGTCTATGTAATCTTTGAATTCCTTCACATATTTTTCAGCTGCTTTTTGGTCCAAACTGGCAGCCTCACCATGCCTAATCACACTATGTATGCCACTACGATTCTTAAATCTTTCAAACCAACCTTTGCTGGCCTTAAATTCACTCGCATCAGCACTAGTTGCAGGCAATTTCTTTACCAAATCGTCATGCAACTTCCTAGCCTTTTCACAAATGATCGCTTGAGAGATGCTATCTCCTGCTATCTGTTTTTAATTTATCCACACCAATAACAGTCTCTCAACATTTTCTAACGCTTGCAGTCGCTGTTTCATAATCACAGTTGCACCTTTTGAAAGAACAGCTTCCTTGAGTGCCGTTTTCCTGGCCACTATAGTAAAGATGGTTGATTGGGGTTTACTATACAACCTGACCAGCTCCGACACACGCACTCCACTTTCGTACTTTGCAATTATCTCTTTCTTCATTTCAATAGTCATTAGCACTTTTTTCTCGAAGGGTTGGCACTAGAAGCTTTCTTGGGGCCCATGGCGACTTATTTTGTAGAACCAAGCACCAAAAACAGTGATAATATGGAATGTACCGAATGTATCCTTAGATGTGTGCACACTGGCTGGCTTGTAAGCACTGGCACACACGGGGGCAGTTCAGGCCACATGTGGACACGTCTCGTACAAATCGCATCGAATACCGGGTTTTTGATCGGATACTGAGGCGAAATTTTTGCGTTAAAATGCATCGAATACCGATGCCATCGAATACTGGGGGTCCACTGTACTGTGCTGTAATTATTTAGTTATTTTTTGTACTTTTTAAATTCATATTGTAGTAAACTTTCCAAGTAAACAAGATGATGCAAACTACTTGTAGCTATGCAAAATTTACATTAATCATTTGAAACACAGATTTCATTTTTACATTATGACTATGCTAGTCGTACTTGGCAGGTGCAAATTTTAAGCTTATCACCAAGTAATAATTTTAGATCCCAAAATGAAATAGTACTGATCAAAACACTTGACATAGGGAGATTTAAAAAAAATACTTTTAAATAAAAGTCATTAGTTTATATTATACTGTATTATATATGTACCACATAAAGGAAGCTTAAGAGAGTGTGTATGTCAGAGATCAAATTAAGGAGTCTTTGGACACGCACGCACTCACGCACGCACGCACACAGTGAGATGGATTAAAAGAGGATGTAGTACATGCTACAACCATTTGAGATTTCATTAAAAAAATATGTTGTACAAATTATTGAAGATGGGATACCACAAAAATAGTTCAGCTCCCGTAGCTACAAATAAGTAATTGCATGCATGCCTGCAGAGTATATTGATAGGTAAACAAAATGGAAGAATGATCTATCATTAATGTCTTAAATGTCTGATATTATTCCTAAGTATAATGTTGTATCCCATTTCAGAGCAACAGGATTCACCACTCGTTCTGATATTGGTCCTGCACGTGATGCCAATGATGTCTCAGATGATCGACATGCACCACCTAGCAAGCGCAAGAAAAAAGATGATGATGATGATGAAGATCTCAATGATGCCAATTATGATGAGGTAAAATTACTTTATGACCATCACTTAAAACATTTAGTTGTTCAAAACTTCTTTTTAGCATGGTAGCTCTCTTATTATTTGCCTGTAAGATCCAGTTTGCCCTCCCCATCATGCCGTTTCATATTTAAAAGTGCATGAACCTTTGTTATTTATCCAATTAATATCTTCCAAGTGAGGTTTAATTTTTTAATACATACAGTAACCCTCGATATAATGGACTTTCGAAATTACGGGCAAAATCCACTAAGTAATTTGTACTTTTAACTCTTATTTTGAATGTTTATTGTAGTGTATCTATAAATTGAGTATCCACTACTATATTAGGTATACTGTAAAGTACTTTATGCATTTTTTTGCTTTTTTTAGACATTATTCTGACTAAATGGACGCTCAGACAATCCCTCCCTGTTGGTCCATTATATCAAGGGTTTACTGTAGCTATTTGTAGGTGTGTTGTTTGTGGTCTCAGTCCTTCATTTCTTTTGAAGTTTAAGATTAAGCCATTTCATACATCAGCATGTGCAGGGCTCTTACATATTTTCTTCATAAATACCTGATAAATACTAAACTAACTTAACCATTGCTGTAGTCATTTTCTTTTTCTTGTTTTTTTTCTTTAGAAATCTTTCTAGTTTCAGTCTTTAGAAATTTCTCTTTAAAATACCTGTACAGATATCAGAATATTTCCTCTTTGTTTATTATATTTATAAAATATGTAGAAATTAAATAGTACAGCCTCTCCTCACTTAATGACGGAGTTCCATTCCTGAATCCATGTCGTTAAACGAATTCGTCACTAAGTGAGGAGCGTACTATAATGGTACTGAGTTTGTGTCAACTATTTTTGATATTGTTTTAATGTCACCTTTGCACCATTTATAACATTTCTGGTATATTTTTGAATGTTTATACAGTAGTGTACTGTATATTGAAATAAACAGAATAGATGAAATCAGCTCTTATATACAGTGGACCCTCGACCAACGATGGCATCGATTAATGATAAATCCGACCAGCGATACATTTTAACACAAAAATTTTGCCTCGACTAGCGCTAAAAAACTCGACCAACACTATTCGTTCCGTCTGAGACGCGTCCACTTCTGGCCAGTGTTTACAAGCCAGCCAGCCACCGTGGTAGCTTCCAAGCATACAATTGGAACATTTCATATTATCACAGCCTTTTTAGTGATTGCACCTGCAAAATAAGTCACCATTGGCCCCAAGAAAGCTTCTAGTGCCAACCCTACAGCAAAAAGGGTGAGAATTACTATGGATATGAAGAAAGAGATCATTGCTAAGTTTGAAAGTGGAGTGCGTGTCTCCAAGCTGGCCAGGCTGTACACAAAACCCCAATCAACCATCGCTACTATTGTGGCCAAGAAAACGGCAATCAAGGAAGCTGTTCTTGCCAAAGGTGCAACTATGTTTTCGAAACTGAGATCGCAAGTGATAGAAGATGTTGAGAGACTGTTATTGGTGTGGATAAACGAGAAACAGATAGCAGGAGACAGCATCTCTCAAGCGATCATATGTGAAAAGGCTAGGAAGTTGCATAAAGATTTAATTACAAAAATGCCAGCAACTAGTGATGTGAGTGAATTTAAGGCCAGCAAAGGTTAGTTTGAGAGATTTAAGAAGCGTAGTGGCATTCATAGTGTGATAAGGCATGGTGAGGCTGCCAGTTCGGACCACAAATCGGCTGAAAAATATGTGCAGGACTTCAAGGAGTACATAGACAGTGAAGGACTGAAACCTGAACAAGTGTTTAATTGTGACGAAACAGGCCTGTATTGGAAGAAAATGCCAAGCAGGATGTACATTACTCAGGAGGAAAAGGCACTCCCAGGACATAAGCCTATGAAAGACAGGCTTACTCTGTTGATGTTTGCCAATGCTAGTGGTGATTGCAAAGTGAAGCCTTTATTGGTGTATCACTCTGAAACTCCCAGAGTGTTCAGGAAAAACAATGTCGTCAAGGCTAATTTGTGTGTGCTGTGGAGGGCAAACAGTAAGGCATGGGTCACTAGGGACCTTTTCTATGACTGGTTACACCATGCATTTGCCCCCAATGTGAAAAATTATTTTATTATCACACTGGCCGATTCCCACCAAGGCAGGGTGGCCCGAAAAAGAAAAACTTTCACCATCATTCACTCCATCACTGTCTTGCCAGAAGGGTGCTTTACACTACAGTTTTTAAACTGCAATATTAACACCCCTCCTTCAGAGTGCAGGCACTGTACTTCCCATCTCCAGGACTCAAGTCCGGCCTGCTGGTTTCCCTGAACCCCTTCATAAATGTTACTTTGCTCACACTCCAACAGCACGTCAAGTATTAAAAACCATTTGTCTCCATTCACTCCTATCAAATACGCTCACGCATGCCTGCTGGAAGTCCAAGCCCCTCGCACACAAAACCTCCTTTACCCCCTCCCTCCAACCTTTCCTAGGCCGACCCCTACCCTGCCTTTCTTCCACTACAGACTGATACACTCTTGAAGTTATTCTGTTTCGCTCCATTCTCTCCACATGTCCGAACCACCTCAACAACCCTTCCTCAGCCCTCTGGACAACAGTTTTGGTAATCCCGCACCTCCTCCTAACTTCCAAACTACGAATTCTCTGCATTATATTCACACCACACATTGCTCTCAGACATGACATCTCCACTGCCTCCAGCCTTCTCCTCGCTGCAACATTCATCACCCATGCTTCACACCCATATAAGAGCGTTGGTAGAACTATACTCTCATACATTCCCCTCTTTGCCTCCATGGACAAAGTTCTTTGTCTCCACAGACTCCTAAGTGCACCACTCACCCTTTTCCCCTCATCAATTCTATGATTCACCTCATCTTTCATAGACCCATCCGCTGACACGTCCACTCCCAAATATCTGAATACATTCACCTCCTCCTACCTAATTGAAAAGAAATTAGACCTTAAGTGCCTCCTGGTATTAGACAATGCTCCTGGTCATCCTTCAGACTTGGCAGAGCGACTTTCTAGGGACATGAGCTTCATTAAGGTGAAGTTTTTGCCTCCTAATACCACTCCTCTCCTGCAGCTCATGGACCAGCAGGTTATTTCCAACTTCAAGAAACTGTACACAAAAGCTATGTTTGAAAGGTGCTTTGTAGTGACCTCAGAAACTCAACTGACTCTAAGAGAGTTTTGGAAAGATCATTTTACCATCCTCAATTGTGTAAACATTATAGGTAAGGCTTGGGAGGAAGTGACTAAGAGGACATTGAACTCTGCTTGGAAAAAACTGTGGCCAGAATGTGTAGACAAAAGGGATTTTGAAGGGTTTGAGGCTAACCCTGAGAATCCTATGCCAGTTGAGGAATCCATTGTGGCATTGGGGAAGTCCTTGGGGTTGGAGGTTAGTGGGGAGGATGTGGAAGAGTTGGTAGAGGAGGACAGTGAAGAACTAACCACTGATGAGCTGCTAGATCATCTTGAACAGCAAGAGGGCAGACCTGAGGAAACTGCTTTGGAGGAGAGGGGAGAGAAATTGAAGAGGTTGCCTACTTCTAAGATAAAGGAAATGTGTGCATAGTGGCTTGAAGTGCAAACCTTTTTTGATGAAAATCACCCTGACACAGCTACTGCAAGCCGTGTTGGCAACCTGTACACTGACAATGTTGTGAACCACTTTAGGAAAGTCATAAAGGAACGAGAGGTACAGGTATCTATGGACAGATGTGTTGTGCGACAGAAGTCCAGTGACTCTGAAGCTGGTCCTAGTGGCATTAAAAGAACAAGGGAAGTAACCCCAGAAAAAGACTTGCTGCCTCAAGTGCTAATGGAAGGGGATTCCCCTTCTAAACACTAAGAAGATCAACGCTCTCCCCTCCTCCCATCCCATCAATCATCGCCAGATCTTCAATAAAGGTAAGTGTCATGTAACTGTGCATGTAATCTTCAGTTTGTGTGTATTAAAATTAATATTTCATGTGGTAAAAATTTTTTTTTTTCAATACTTTTGGGTGTCTTGCATTATTTCTTATGGAGAAAATTAACTTGACTAACGATAATTTTGACTAACGATGAGCTCTCAGGAACGGATTAATATCGCTGGTTGAGGGTCCACTGTACATTATTTAGGTATGAACACAGGTCAGAGAGCTCGTCATAAATCCGAGGCATCGGTAAACGAGTATGTCGCTGAGTGAGGAGAGGCTGTACTGTATAGTACATGATCAGAATTTCCTCTTTCTCTTGTCCTTTGCTTCGTATACTGTATAGAGTACTGTATTACCATATACTTTCTCTTGAGATACCTCATCCTTCTCATTTTCTTAATTCTACTCCTTTCATTACATCTAGTCATGAAAACCACCTGTCTTTAATCTGATCTAATGCATTCACAGAAACGTGTGGAATGCTCAAGCCTCTAGCCCTCAAAACCTTATTTACTTCTTCCCTCCAGCCCTTCCTGGAATGACTTCTATACAATTACAGTGATACCTCGCATATCTAGCCTGTCATTATCCAAACCTCGCCAATATCCAAACAGGCCCTGGGAAAGGGCAAAATTCTAAAATTATTACCAAAACATCCAAACAGCCGTTCGAATACAGCAGAAGGCTGAATCAAACTTGACGCACACTTTAGTGTACCAGTTGGCCACTAGGAACCATGCTCTTCGCCACCTCCACCACCCACTGTTCTCAGTCCCGCTATTGTCTTCTAACCGAACAGGTGCACATAATGGCAGTGCAGTCCAGAAGTGAGTTTGTGGCCTTCATGGGGGTTACATTCCTCCTTTTAGCATTACTACTACTGTGTTTTGTCCTAGCTGTCTTGTTTATGGCACCAAAGAGGGCCAGGAATGTGCTTACTCTAGAAAAAAGAGAGAAATATTGTCGCACGTGGATGCAGGTTGGTCCAACGCGCGACTTATGGCTTAGTATAATTTGGCAAAGTCGACTCTCTGTGATATCAAGAAGGCTCGTGATAAGATTATGAACTACACAAATGATTTTCTGCCATCTCAAAAACTGGAAAAAGGACTGAAAGAAAAGTGATGGCGAAGTCATAGAGCTTGGAACTCGATCAGTGTGTGATGAAGTGGTACCTACAGCAACGTGGTAGTGGTATGATGGTTCGGCACGCTGTCATTCGTAACCTCGCCCAGGCCTTGAATGATGTCCTGCCATCAACTCTTGCCAATTGCTGGAATTGGCTCCTTCACGGGATTGATTTCGATGGATTCAAGGCAAAAGATTTCCATTGCCAGTTACTCAAGGCTGGGGGAAAAACTACGAAAGGCGACATGCAAGACTGGCTAGAGTGTGACAAAGATGACCCTGGTGTGCAGTCTCTGACAGATACAGAGATTGCAGAATCAGTGTTGCAACCAGAACATTCCGAAAGTGACGACGACGACAGTAACCCAATACCTTCAAGACCAAGAACTTCAGCAGTGAGGGCAGGTGTCGAAACACTTTTGGAGTATTTGGAGCATCCACTGTCCACAGCCCATTTGAAAAGTTATGGTCCTGTGGTCCATGAAATCTGGGAGACAGTTATTCGAGCCCAGAGTGTCTGGTCCCACCACCAGATGACGTTGGACTCGTTTTTTAAACCTACAACGCTGTCACCTATGGCGATATGATTGGGTACAGATGGCGATATGATGGTACAGATGCACATTTTTTATCTCTCACGTATCTGGAAACTCCGTATTTCCAAACCAGTCTTGGCCCATGTAGTAGTTCGGATATGAGAAGTATCACTGTATACAGTCATTAAAAAAAAAAACCATACCACGGGCGGGGATAGAACCCGTGATCAGAGAGTCTCAAAACTCCAGACTGTTGCGTTAGCCACTGGACCAGCTAGCCACAATAAGATTCATCTGTAAAAACTTGCATTTGTGGTCACAGTGGTGCCTATGCTAACCTTCCTATTGTGTAGAAATATACCTAGTTGGATGACTCTTATTGTGGCTAGCTGGTCCATTGGCTAACGCGACGGTCTGGAGTTTTGAGACTCTCTGATCGCGGGTTCTATGCCCACCCATGATATGGTTTGTTTGCAATCGTGTCATTACGATTTCGTGAGTTAAGTACAGTCATTAATCCTGGATTTTATATCTCGGTTGCTCTTCAGCATACACTTGTTCAGTCTGGTGCTCACAGTTAAATATTATTACATTCAGTACTAAGCGCTAAACCCACAAGGATCATACTGTGTTGCTCATAGTTAAACAAGATAAGAAAAATCAGTAAATAAATATAAAAAGCAATAATTTTTTTACTGGCATAAATGTTCTAGCTTTGATGGAATTACCACTGTTATTGTTGTCATTTGTTTTCATTAATTTTGTGACTGACTCCTTTATTGTGACAAGCAATTCATTATTACTGTGACTTACTTAACCAACAGAGAATTGGAGCCCAGTCTTTGGACTTATTATGTGCCTCTAATCTTTTGAGCCTGTCACATAAGTGTAGGCAAGCTTTTTTTTTGTTGTTGTTTTTGTTTTCATTGCACTAAAAGATACTGAATATTCCTATTTGTTTTCTCTCTCTCACAGTTCAATGGATATGGAGGATCTCTATGTAGCAAAGATCCTTATGACAAAGATGATGAAGAGGCAGATGCCATTTATGATGAAATCGACAAACGCATGGATGAGAAGAGAAGAGAATATCGTGAACAGCGCTTGAAAGCAGAACTTGAGAATTATCGTCAGGAGCGCCCAAAGATCCAACAGATGTTCACTGACCTTAAACGAGAATTAGCAAATGTATCGGAAGATGAGTGGAGCACAATTCCAGAAGTAGGTGATGCCAGGAACAGGAAGCAGCGTAATCCAAGATCCGAAAGATTTACACCCCTACCTGATAGCGTTCTTTCTCATAACCTAGGAGGGGAGAATGTAACTACAATTGATCCAGGCTCAGGACTTGCTTCTATGATGCCAGGGACTTCAACCCCTGGAATGCTTACCCCAAGTGGTGACCTTGATTTACGTAAAATTGGTCAAGCACGAAACACTTTAATGGGAATGAGATTGAACCAAGTGTCAGATGCTGTTGGTGGTCAAACAGTAGTGGATCCCAAGGGTTATCTGACTGACCTTCAAAGTATGATCCCACAATATGGAGGTGATATAAATGATGTAAAGAAGGCAAGATTGCTGCTGAAATCTGTTCGAGAAACAAATCCTAACCATCCACCTGCTTGGATTGCTTCAGCACGTCTTGAAGAGGTGACAGGCAAGATTCAATCTGCTCGTAATCTCATTATGAAAGGGTGCGAAATGTGTCCGAAATCAGAAGATGTATGGCTGGAAGCAGCTCGACTGCAACCTCCAGATATGGCTCGGGCTGTGATTGCTCAAGCTGTCCAGACATTACCACACTCACCCAGAATATGGATTAAAGCCGCTGATCTGGAATTAGAGTTAAAGGCAAAGAAAAGAGTTTATCGAAAGGCTCTGGAACAGATCCCAAATTCTGAGCTTTTGTGGAAATTGGCTGTGGAACTGGAAGAGGAGGAGGATGCTAAGATTCTTTTAAGCAGAGCTGTTGAATGCTGCCCTACATCAGTAGATCTCTGGTTAGCTTTAGCCCGATTAGAAGTTTATGAAAATGCCAGGAAAGTCCTTAACAAAGCACGTGAAAATAACCCTAAAGATCGTCAAATTTGGATTACTGCAGCAAAGCTTGAGGAAGCAAATGGCAATAATACCTTAGTTGGCAAGATTATTGAGCGTGCTATCTCCACACTGCAAGCCAACATGGTTGATATTAATCGAGATTTTTGGATCAAGGATGCCATGGAAGCCGAGCATGCAGGGGCTGTCCTGACTTGCCAGTCAATCATCAAAAATATAATTGGTTATGGAGTTGAAGATGAAGATCGGAAGCACGCATGGATGGAAGATGCTGACAGCTGTGCTAGCCAGGGTGCCTTTGAGTGTGCCCGTGCCATATATAGCCATGCACTTTCTGTATACCCAAAGAAAAAATCTGTTTGGCTAGCTGCTGCTCACTTTGAGCGTAGCCATGGGACAAGGGAATCATTAGAAACACTACTGCAGCAGGCTGTAACACATTGTCCTCAAGAGGAAACACTCTGGCTTATGGGTGCTAAATCAAAATGGCTTGCTGGAGATGTTCCAGCAGCTCGGTCCATCCTTGCACTAGCATTCAAGGCTAATCCAAACTCTGAAGAAATTTGGTTGGCAGCTGTCAAACTGGAGTCTGAGAATAACGAATATGAACGTGCACGGCGTTTACTTTCGAAGGCTCGCTCACAGGCAGCCACTGCCAAGGTGATGATGAAGTCTGCTCATTTGGAATGGGCATTGGGTAATTTGGAATTAGCCAAAACATTGCTGGATGAAGGTATCAAAGAGGTAGGTGACTTTGCTAAATTATGGATGATGAAAGGTCAGATCTTAGAACAACAAGGTAAGAAAGATGTTGCATGGGAAGTTTATAGGGATGCTGTTAAACGATGCCAATCCTCAATTCCTCTCTGGAGGCTACTTGCAACTTTAGAGGAACAGCAAGGTAAATTAGTTACAGCAAGAGCCACGCTAGAGAAATCGAGAGTTCGTAATCCAATGAATGATGAGTTGTGGTTGATGGCAATTCGTCTAGAGCTTAGAGCTGGTCAGCGTGAGGTGAGTCGGTCATTAATAGCACGTGCGCTTCAAGAGTGTCCTTCATCTGGCATCCTGTGGGCCCAAGCTATATTCTTGGAGGACCCAGCACAGAGAAAGAGTCGCAGTGTAGATGCTTTGAAGCGTTGCCAGGATGATGCGCATGTTGTTCTAGCAGTTGCAAAAATGTTCTGGATAGAGGGTAAAAAGAACAAGGCCCGGGAATGGTTTAATAAAACAGTTAAAATTGATCCTGATCTGGGTGATGCTTGGGCATGGTATTACAAAATGGAACTATTATTTGGCTCAGAAGAGCAACAGCATGAAGTGAGGAAAAGGTGCATGGCAGCAGATCCACGCCATGGTGAGCATTGGTGCGCAGTTTCTAAACATATTTATAACTGGAGAAAAAAGACCCCAGAAATTCTTCAACTAGTAGCAGATAGACTTCCCATTCCTGTGACTAGCAGAGAAGTTTACTGAGATGAACTTTTTAAATAATATGTCACATTTTCTTTTATATAAATTTGGGTGATTTTTCCCTTTAAAATTGTACGGTGTGAGATTTTGTTATTCACCATTTCATTTTATCGCTTGTTTCACCTCATAATTAGTAAATTAAAACAGCGCTGTATGACCTTAGTGGGTTTAGCGCTTCTTTTCAATCATAATAATATTAAATTAATGACTTGTAAAGTTTTACATAGAGCAGTACATCCTCACTACATAAATTTGCATAATGTATCAAGTTTAACAGGTGGGGCTCAAACCCATGGCAAGTTAGTCTTCAACCGGGCAGGCCCAGTGTTCGCTGGCTCATGAATTTGAAGACTGGTTTGCCGTGGGTTCCAGCCCCACCCAGTCTGCAATATTTTTTGTCATGTTATTATGATTTTGAGTGTCAAGATTTCCATTATGTGTTGGTAAATAATAACTTGCGAAATTGTAGCGACACGATTGCAAACAAACCATACCACGGGTGGGGCTTGAACTTGCGGTCAGAGAGTTGTAAAACTCCAGACCAGCCAGTGGATAATGCGTCGGTCTGGAGTTTTAAGACTCTCTGACCGTAAGTTCAAGCCCCACCCGTGGTATGGTTTGGTAAATAATATTTTGGTAAAATAATAATCTTACTTAATTATGTTTTCTTTGTAATGCAGAATGAGCATTTATATGTGGAGCATCTTGTATAAACTAAGATAAAAATAAGTGACTTATGGAATTAAGAGATTTCTGGATTTATTAGTACCTGTGGTAAAAATTTTATTTTATGGTTATCAGTGATATCTTTTATACTAATTTATTTAAGGATTTGCTATACATACAGTATTTACTATACTGTACAGTACAGTACTTGTGATATAAAATACTTGATGCCTTTATACTTTGACTGTTAAAACTAATATGATACATTATCAAATATCTACTTATGCAGCCATCAGAGGAAACTTTTAAGCTCATTAGGTATACTATTTTTTTTATTATTATCACACTGGCCGATTCCCACCAAGGCAGGGTGGCCCGAAAAAGAAAAACTTTCACCATCATTCACTCCATCACTGTCTTGCCAGAAGGGTGCTTTACACTACAGTTTTTAAACTGCAACATTAACACCCCTCCTTCATGTACTAGTATATATTATTGTAATGGGAAAGTGATCAACTGGTAAAGGTCATACAGCACTTGAGGAATGGCAGGGTAGCTCTAGTTCTTTGTATCACGAGCCTTTCATCAGCAACAAGACACCTTCCTTGAAGGGTGCTTGCTGGTAGCAGGATATAGGTGTTATGGTTTTTGCCTTGTATGCCAGAGAGGCCCTAAAAATAGACAGTTTTGAGTTAGTGAGCACATTAAACAGATTGCAAGTGAAGTTAATTAAAAGTTTGATGCAGGTAGGTCAGCAGCCCTTGTACCTATGCTTTTAAACAATATTAAAAAAAAAAGATAGTCTTCTTCTTTCAACAAACCGGCCATATCCCACTGAGGCAGGGTGACCCAATAAGAAAAACGAAAGTTTCTCTTTTTAAATTTAGTAATTTATTCAAGAAAAGGCGTTACTAGCCCCTTGCTCCCGGCATTTTAGTCGCCTCTTACAACACGCATGGCTTACGGAGAAAGAATTCTGTTCCACTTCCACATGGAAATGAGAGGAAATAAACAAGAACAAGAACTAGAAAGAAAATAGAAGAAAACCCAAAGGGGTGTGTGTGTATATATATGCTTGTACATGTATGTATGCACCTGGAGAAGAGAGAAGTGTAGAGGAGAGAGAGAGATTCTGGGAAATGTTGAGTGAATGCATGGGGAGTTTTGAATCAAGTGTGAGAGTAATGGTGGTTGGGGATTTCAATGCTAAAGTGGGTAAAAATGTTATGGAGGGAGTAGTAGGTAAATTTGGGGTGCCAGGGGAAAATGTAAATGGGGAGCCTTTAATTGAGCTATGTGTAGAAAGAAATTTGGTAATAAGTAATACATATTTTATGAAAAAGAGGATAAATAAATATACAAGGTATGATGTAGCACGTAATGAAAGTAGTTTGTTAGATTATGTATTGGTGGATAAAAGGTTGATGGGTAGGCTCCAGGATGTACATGTTTATAGAGGGGCAACTGATATATCAGATCATTAATTAGTTGTAGCTACAGTTAGTAAGAGGTAGATGGGAAAGAGGAAGGTGCAAACCACAAGTAAGAGGTAGATGGGAAAGAGAGAAGGTGGCAACAATCAAGTAAGATGGAGGTGAAAGTGGTATAAAACTAAGGGAGGGGGAAGTTCGGGCGAGAAATAAAGCGACTATTGCAGAAACTTGGGCTAGTGCAAAGATGAGTAGTGGGGGGGTTGAAGAGGTTGGAATAGTTTTAAAAATGCAGTAATTAGAATGTGGGGCAGAAGTTTGTGGATATAGGAGGGTGGGGGCAGTGAGGAAAGAGGAGTGATTGGTAAATGATGAAGTAAAGGCTTGATAAAAGAGAAAAAGGTAGCTTAACGAGAGTTTTTTTACAAAGCAGAAGTGTTAAAAGAAGAGCGAGTAAAATGGAGAGTAAAAAAGGTGAAGAGAGTGTGAGAGAGTGCAATAGGAAGCAGCATGAAAGAGTGGGAGAGGCACTGTCAAAGAAAATTTAATTGAAAATAAGAAAAATTTTTGGAGTGAGTTAAACAAGTTAAGAAGCCTAGGGAAAGTATGGATTTGTCCCGTTAAAAACAGAGTAGGGGGAGTTAGTAGATTGGGGAGAGGGGGGGAGGTATTAGGAGATGGCGAGAATATTTTGAGGAACTTTTAAATGTTGAGAGGAAAAAGGGAGGCATAATTTTCATGCCCACTGGCCAGGGAGGTATACCATCTTTTAGGGAAAAGTGAAGAAGAGCAGAAATGTAAGTGTGGTGGAGTACGTGAGCATTACGTAGAATGAAAGGGGGTAAGCAGCTGGAACTGAATGGGATCATGACAGAATGTTAAAACAGGGGGGATATAAGTTTTGGAGTGGTTTTTTTTGGTACTTTTGTTTAATAAATGTATGTTTAAAAGAGTGAAGGTAACCTAGGGAAATTGGCGAAGCGGGTAAAGTTTCCTTTATATAAAGGGAAAGGGACAAAAGAATTGTAAAAATTATAGAGGAATAAGTTTACTGAGTATACCAGAAAAAGTATACGGTATGAGTTCTAAATTGAAAGAATTTAGAGGTAAACAGAATGTAAGAATTGCAGTGAGCAAGGAGGCTTCAGAGTGGGTAGGGATGTGTAGATCAAGTGTTTACATTTGAACATATGTGAACAGTATTATATAAAGGTAGGGAAGTTTTATATTGCATTTATGGATTTAGAAAGGCATATGAAGAGTGATAGGGACAATGTGGCAGATGTTGCAAGTATATGGGAATAGGTGGTAAGTTATCTAAATGCTGTAAAGAGCTTTTATGGAGGATAGTGAGCTTCAGGTTAGGGTGTGTAGAAGAGAGGGAGACCCTTCCCGGTAAAAGTAGTCCTATAACAGGGATGTGTAATGTCCACCATGGTGTCTTGGGAATATATTTAAAGATGGGGTTTAAAAGAAGTAAATGCTAGGGTGTTCGGGATTGGGGTGGGATTAAATTATGTATGGGGAATCAAATTCAAATTGGAAATTGACACAGTTTACTTTTTGCTGATGATACTGGCTTATGGAATTTAAAGAAAAATTGCAAAGGGTTAGTGGAAGTTTGAGAATGTGTGTAAAGGTAGAAAGTTAAAGGAACATAGAAAAAAGTAAAGTGTGAGGGTATCAATGTTTAAAAAGAAAAATTGGATATCAAATTGGGGAGGAAAGTATGGAAGAAGGAAAATGTTTTCAGATATTTGGGGAGTTGAGTTTCGGCGGAGGTTTAGAAGGATGAGGTTAACAAGATTGTGAGGGAAAAAAGGTGAGTGGGGGTTGAGGGATATTGGAGTCAAAAACGTTATTATGGAGGGAAAAAGGGAATGTAGAAAGTATAGTATACCAACACCTAATTGGGTGTGAAGCTTGGGGGGAAATGCAGCCGAGGAAACGGGTTTGGGGGCAGTGGGGGATTCCTTCTAAGGGCAATGTGTGGGGAAGTATTAGCAGAAAATTCGGAGTGTGGGAAAATTAGGGGAAGGTGTGGAGTTAATAAAACATTATCAGAGGGGAAAAGAGGGGGTTTTTGGGTGGTTTGGTCATTTTGGGGAGAAAGGGTCAAGTAGAATGACATGGGAAAACTATAAATTTAGGGGAAGGAAAGAGGGGTAGGGTCTCCTCGAAAGGGGGGGAAAAGGGGGTAAAGGAGGTTTTTTTGGGCGAGGGGGGGCTTGGATTCCCGCAAGCGGCTGAGGTGTTAGATAGGAGTGAATGGAGACGAATGGTATTGGGACCTACGATCGTTTTGGGGTGTGACGGGTAAATTTAGGGGAAAGGGGTTCGGGAAACCAGTTATTTTCATATAGCCACTTGAGTCCTGGGAAAAGGGAAGTACAAGCCCGCACTTTAAAGGAGGGGTTTGGGATATTGGCAGTTTGGAGGGAATGTTGTGATCTTTATCTATATGCTTCTAAACTGTTTTATTCTGGCACCTCTGCAAAAAACATGATAATGGTAGTGTGGGGGAAAGTGTTGAATGAAGAGAAAGATTTTCTTTTGGGGGGTTTTCTTTCTTTTTTGGGTCACCCTGCCCCGGGGGGAGACGACCAACTTGATGAAAAAAAAATAAAAAAAACATGTATGTGTAGTGTGACCTAAGTGTAAGTAGAAGTATCAAGACATACCTGAAATCTTGCATTTTTATGAGACAGAAAAAAAAGACACCAGCAATCCTACCATCATGTAAAACAATTACAGGCTTTCGTTTTACACTCACTTGGCAGAACGGTAAGTACCTCCCGGGGTGGTTGCTTTTTAAACCAACCTACTACCTATTTATATACTTTATATATATAATATATATATATATATATATATATATTTATATATATATATATATATATAATATATATATATATATATATATAATTTTTTTTTTTTTTTTTTTTTTTTTTTTCTCAACAAGTTGGTCGTCTCCCCACCGAGGCAGGGTGACCCAAAAAAAAAAGAAAATCCCCAAAAGAAATACTTTCATCATCATTCAACACTTTCACCACCTCACACATTACCCACTGCTTTTGCAGGGGTGCTCAGAAAAACAACAGTTTAGAAGCATATATGTATAAAGATACACAACATATCCCTCCAAACTGCCAATACCCCAAAACCCCTCTTTAAAGTGCAGGCATTGTACTTCCCATTTCCAGGACCAAGTCCGACTATAAGAAAATAACTGGTTTCCCTGAATCCCTTCACTAAATATTACCCTGCTCACACTCCAACAGATCGTCAGGTCCCAAGTATCATTCGTCTCCATTCACTCCTATCTAACACGCTCATGCACGCTTGCTGGAAGTCCAAGCCCCTCGCCCACAAAACCTCCTTTACCCCCTCTTTCCAACCCTTTCGAGGACACCCCTACCCCCTTTCCTTCCCCTATGATTTATATGCTTTCCATGTCATTCTACTTTTATCCATTCTCTTAAATGACTAAACCACCTCAACAAACCCCTTCTGCCTCGACTAATGCTTTTATTAACTCCACACCTTCTCCTAATTTCCACACTCCGAATTTTCTGCATAATATTTACACCACACATTGCATACATACATACATACATACATACTACATACATACATACATACATACATACAT